ACTAGTCTGGACTGCTAACAAATAGTGAGTTTGATTAGAGCCTAAACTTGAGGTCCATCATGAGTCACTGTCTCAAAACAATAGCAATATTTAAAAAAAAAAAGGCTAATTGTAAGTAGGATAATGGCTAAAGGAATATATGCATATATTAAAATAATAGGAAAATGCCAGCAGTTTTAGTATAGAGTAGAATTTGTACCCTGGATGCTTAATATACATTATTTCCCATTTCAGTTTATTTGAAACTTTTCATAATAGAATATTGAGAATAGTATCTCCCTCCAAATCCCAACAACTAAAGTTGATGGTTTTTATTTCACTCATCAGGCTAATAGTCTTGTGGGTCTGGGAAGACCATCCTCCAGCCTTCTGCTTGCCGTGCTAATTGCACTTCATTTTGCTTCTAGGTGGTGATATTAGGGAACACCTCCAGTAACTTAACAAGCACTGCAAAATCATGAACATGATGAAGTCACAGGATTTTAGAACGCTAATCCAAATCATTCTAGACTTAGCAGTAGTTAAGGGACTTTTCAAACTCAAAAAGAGACTACCTATTTTCTGAAATGGGCAAATGAATTGGTTAATTTTTCTGGAAACTTCTTTAAAAATGACCAAGAAATAGTATCAATACCATTATCCATTAAGAAAGGATGAGTGAAAATCAGAGTGGAGAAGTGCTTTTACCTCTAATACAGATCTAGCCAAAAAAGACAGAGTGACCGATGCTGGGAGTGTAAAACACTGCAGCCACTTTGAACAAGAACTGGCGATACGCTGTATCAAGCAGTGATTTTACTCAAGTGTACACATGAAGAAATGAACACTCGTGTCTGTGAAGACACTTAGGCATGGCCATGTGTGGCAGCATTATTTATAGTAAATCAGGATTAGAATCAACCAAAACGTCTACAGTCAGATGACTGGACAAGTACCGTATACAAATATACTGAGCGGACTGTTCTCAGCAATCAGGAAGAATGAACTGCTGTTACATCCTTTAACATGGGTGAACCTTTAAACTGTGCTAGGTGAGAGAAGCCCATCACAAAAACACAAGCTGTGATTCCAACTCATGCAATGCTGGGAACAGGCAGAGGCAGAGCGTGGATTAGAGCGGGGAGAAGTGTAGAGAGAGAAGAGAACGATCGCTTGTATCAGGCAGGGTTCTCCAGAGGGACAAAGCCAACAGAGAGCAGATATGTGTGTGCCTGTACCCACATGTGTCATAAAAAGTGAGACAGGGCTCAGTGGTTAAGAGCACTGTCTGCTCTTCCAGAGGTTCTGAGTTCAGTTCCCAGCGACCACATGGGGGCTCACAACCATCTATATTGGGATCTGATGCACTCGTCTGGCATGGAAATGACCTACAGATAGAGCATTCATATATGTAAAAATAAATAAATAAATACATACATACATATTTTTAAAAAGTGATTTAGTAGATAGCTCATACCTGAGGGTTTGGTAATCTGACACTTCTGTGTGAATGCTACACAGATTCAGGAAAAAAAAAAAAGCTTAGTACATGAAGCTGCATGTCTGGGCAGTCCCAATTCAGTGCTGAGGGAGTTCTCCGGGGAGACATTGGCTTTCAGTTCACTTTGGAGAGCCGGGGAATCTGGAGTATGATGTCCGAGGGGGGTGCAGACACAGGGATAGCCACGCTCACGCAGGAAGCGGAATCAAAGGCATGGAGGGGAAGGCCTCTGGCTGACATTGGAGAGTGCCGCCGCTTCCGGGGTGGGCCTTCTCCTTCAGTCCATCACAGATAGGCCCAGAGGCGTGCCCTCATGTTCCAGTTGGCAGCCCAGTCTAACTGCCACTCCCATGCTGCCAGCAGCATGTTATGGGGCATGGGAATATTCTAAAATTGATCATGATCATAGTTGTACAACTCTGGATATACAAAAATACATTCAGATGTATAGTGTAAAGAGATTCTGTTGTGTAGATTTACCTCAGTGATCAAAAATAAAACAAACCAAAAACCAAATACAAAACAACAAATAAACAAAGCAAAAACAACAAGAACAAGAAAAACACCTTCTTGGTCTTAATAATTCCAGATAACAAGACTCAGCTTGCACATTCTTCTGTAAATTTTTTTTAATATTCTGTATTCTGTACATTTAATGGGAAAATGTGATTATTTATGGTTAAAAGCTAAAAACTGAATCTGTATGATGAAAACCAAAATTATTCAAAAAGGAGGAAAAGAAACAAAAATAAATGAAAAAAGTATATAAATGGAGAAAAGAAGGAGCTTGGTAGGGATAAAATTGTCAGGGCAAAGCTGAGTCCCAGGAATCATTTTGTTTAGGTAGGGATGCTTTCCGTAAGAGCCTCAGCACATTCTCCATATACAGAGACCCAATTGACTTTTCCTCTCCATTCCATTCTGTTCTTCCTTCCCTCTATTAAAATTAAAAAAAAACACATTTATTTGTATTTTACATGGATGAGATGTTTGCTTGGATGGATTTAAATATACCACATGTTACCTGGTGCCTGTGGAGGCCAGAAGAGGCATCGGACCTCCCAGAACTGGAGTTAGAGGGAAGGAAGCCATCACATGGGGTGTCAGGAGCAGAACAGGTGCTCTGGGCCACTAAGAGTGTGTTAAACGGAGCTGGAGCTGCAGAGGGTTGGGAGCCATCACGCGGGGGTCAGCTGAACCTTGGTTCTCTGCAAGAGCAAGGTCTGAGCCCTTTCCCCAGCCCCTTTTCCTCAGTCTTTGTTTCTTTGGGCAAATCCTGCGGGAATGCCCAGGTCTCAGCCATTTTGGCTTATTCTCTCCTCCTCAGGAGAAGAGTTGCTCTCCAGTTATCATCTCTCAATCATCCATCTTAAACTTCCCAGGTCTCCTTAAGACGACAGCAGGTGAGCGAGCGGCTGAACGAGTGGGCCGTCTTCAGCGAGAAGAACAAGGAGTTGTGCGAGTGGCTGACCCAGATGGAGAGCAAGGTCTCCCAGAATGGAGACATCCTCATTGAAGAGATGATAGAGAAACTCAGGAAGGTGAGAGGCGCCATGCGGCCTGGCTTCCCTTCTTCCCTGCTCTTCCTGGTGCTTTGCGCTTAACAGCCTAACTCCCCATCACTTTCCCACCCAAGGAGGACTGTGTGCTAATCCTCCTCTTCATGACATACAACAGACCCGTGGGGAAAGACCAGCTTTACACGAAAACTTCACAGGATGTGTTTAGTTGGTGAGGAAATCAACTTTCTGCTTTTTTGTCCTGGAGTAATCATTTACACACACAACTTTTATCTCATTGTTCTTCATGGTTCGTAGAGAGAGACATCACTACAGAGGACCTCACAGGAAAGGTGACTTAAACTGAAGTTCCCCTAGAAACTGTGATCTGTTAGCCACTGAGGGGAATGAAGACCTCTCTGGGAATGCTGGATTCCTGTTATATCAAGCTGACTATGCATCATTCAGTTATTTTGTGTGTTCATGTGGCTCTAGGACATTTTTTATGTCTGAACAGGGATTACTGAATTGACTGATAATTTTGAATGTTTGTATGGGTTTTAGTAGAGTTTCTCCATTTTTGAGCAAATAATCATGCCAGCACGTCGGTTTGTGTCTCTCCTTAGCACACATATGGTGTATTTTCCATATGTACCTGTTCACTGTCTGGGAGGAAAAAACAAATCAAGTAGAAAACCTCCCTGGAATGTGGACCTTTGTCTCGTTCTGTGCTCCCCTACCCACTGCATCCACAGCCACGCCCAACTTCTTGTAAACATAGAGCTCATATTTATTGACTACAGAGATTATGGTTTTCTTCATTCTGAAAAGCAACATTGTTCTCAGTGCACACACAGACAGAGATAAGATCAAAGCCAACATGTAGCATTGATGACTTTCTAAGTTTTCTATATAATTATGAAAAATCTCTTGAGTAATCAGTTTGCTTATTTGATGTCGAAAGAGTTCCTGGGCCGAGATGATGCGGGTTTTGTGTTAGCCTCTGCTCAGCCTGGAACATTGCTGGTTGCTAGGTGTCAAAGAATGGCATACTGCGCAGGCTCATGAACTGGTCACCAGCGTAAAGCTCGCTGAAGACTCATTCTTCATTACGTGTATCTGTATCCTCATTGCTTGTCACTGTGAAATTCAGAATGGACATTTTAGGGAGGGAAAATCTCTCCAGATCAAAATATAGCCATAATTTGAAATTTGCTTATTTGGTACGATGTCAAAGATACTCTTTGAGCAGGTGGCCACAGTGGTTTGGGCCTGTCCTCTCAGCTACATGTGAACCTGAGGCAGAAATACTGCATGTTAAGGGTCTGCCTGGGCTACAAAGTGAGTGCCAGGCTAGCCCTTGCTTCATACTAAAGAGTGAAAACAGATGAGGGAGTGGCGAGTTGTGTTCTCAACTGGTCAGTAGTGCATACGGCCCAGTTTTAATCTCAGCCCTGCAACGTAAAGACGAAGACAAGAAACATTCCTTGACGTATTAAGTCTACTAGTTTGTATATAAAATAAGTGGTGGAACTAAAAAGCTCATCCTGGTCTCGTCTTTCTTGTAAATGTGACGTGTTACTAAGAAAAGCTCAGTATTTTTGACAGCAGAGGAAAAACCGAGTGACAAATTACTTGAAGCCAACTATTATTGTCTACTGGCGTTGAAACAACAGTTTAATTTAGATGACAACCCAAGAGGACAGTTTCACTCTTAAGTGCATTTTAAGATGTAGAGTAGTTCTTTTGGAATCAACATTTCTCAATAAAATCACCCCAATTTTGTGATGAAATGTTAAAGCATAAATAAATGCACTCAGTGTTTTGGGTTTTGGATCCCTATGTGTTGAAATAACATGGGAAGGTAGGTAGGCAGGGCATTCAACCCTGAGCTGAAATGGAGTTTTGCTCACCACCTTCTTTCTTCCAGACCCCCCTTCCTTACAGAAGTGGTTAGGGAGCATCTAACTGTAGAGGAAAAGTTAGACTATACGTATAAAACCTATCTTCATGCGTGTTCTGATTTGAGTTCTGTATGTGCATGTTTGTGTGGTGTGTGCACATGAGTGTATACGCATCTTTGCATGTGCGCGCCGGACCTACATGTGCCTGTGCTTACGGAGGCCGGAGGTCGAAGTCAGCTGCCTTCCTCAGTTGCTCTCCACCTTAGAAATTGAGCTAGGCTGCCCCCGTTGAACCCATAGCTCACATATGTGGCTACTCTCGCTATCCAATTGGCTCCAGGGATTCTGTGTCTTCCCCGGTGCTCAGGGATTACAGGCCAGGTGGCCCTCTTTTTTGCTGTTCACATAGATTCCAGGAGTCCAAACTCTGCCCTCACATTTATGCTTTACCTGAGGAGCCATCTTCCTTCATTATTTTGCTGAGATACTGTCTGCTGCGTACCAGGTGTTCCAGCACTGACCCTAAAACCAAATCTGTCTGCTGGTTTAATGTCTGCCCCCTGCAAATAGACCACATAGGGCTTGTTACCTTTAACCAGTTTTTGAGAGGGGCTAGCATAGAGACTGAATAAACCAAGTTGTGAGACCTACTAACCTGCTGAAAAATTAATGGTTCCTTATCTTGAGAACAAAGTTGCGGTTATATGTGGCAGAAGATATCTCTAAAATAAAGGAGTTCAAAATATTCTTCACAGATAACATGACTGACATGATAGATACGTTTCAAGTCTTCATTGCTGACATGACATACATAAATAAGCACATATGTACACATTCATGAACAGACATGTAATGACGACACAGACATTCATACATGTGTATTCGCGTGTCTCTGAGCCTGTTGTCAGCTATTCATATGCTGATTGATTCTATGTATACTAGACAATTTCATATATATATGAACTGCAGCCTGGTGGGTCACCAGTAGACACACAACTGAAGGCAGTGGTTCAGGAGTGAGCAGTGGTTCCCTGAGCCTCTCCTCTAGGCATCCCTGGCCGTGGACAGGTTCATTTTGACATAAACCCAGTGTAGGTATCTACTGTGGGTTTGTGGTGGCTGCAATGGCTGTGTCTTGCCCAGAAGGTGCCATTGTTCTCAGATCTTCTCGTCTTCTGGCTCTTACTCGTGTTCCCTCTTCAGTAATGTTCTCTGAGTCTTAGAGGAGTAGTGTAGATATCTTATTTGTACCCAAGCACTCATGAGCCAGTTATTCTCAGCACCTTATGCGGCAACAAGTCTACCATTGTTCTGTAGCTACAATTCTTCACTGAAAAAGAGGTTTCTATGATTAAGGCAGAGCGTACAATTTAAATATAAATATTTAGAAGGAAGTTTGACCCCATAATAGTTTTTCTAAACAGTTTTCAGCTCCCTGCCCCAACCCAGAACCTATGTCTCCCCAGCTGTGAGTTTTGACCACGTTTATAGTGTCTAGCACAGACTCCTGTGGCGTGGACCTCAAACACAGCCAAAGAACAGTTGGTTAACTCCATGGCAGTAACACCACTATTATATATGCCACCTGGAAGGCTGGTCTTGTAGTTCATAGTATTAACAGTGAGTGATGTCTTTGTTGTCCCACTAACCAGCAAAGCACTCCCTGAGACTTTGAAAGCTAGCTGGCAGGGAGGAGCTTACAGCTGGGTTTCAGCAACCAAGGTGTGTGGCGTCTTCAGCAGTGGGTCTATTCTCACGTTCGGTTCTTGGTGAGTAGCCAGAGCGGAGGCCAGAGCTTGTTTGTTTAAGGACATCTCTGAGGAACAATTCATTAGGTTTTCCACCCCAAGGATTGGGGTTTTTGTTTAATAACCTACAGCTTCTAGGAATACCTTTTCCCAGTTGTTCAGGGTATGTATCCACCTTCAAAGGCTATTTAATTTTTTTATTAGTTCTTTGAGGACTGGGCACAAATGCTTTTGTCCTGTTCATCCCGTCCACCAACACTTCCCAGGTCTACTTCACATTCCCTACCCACCCAACTTTGTGTCTTTTCCCCCTCATCAAGGAAATATTTGTGCTGCCTAAATATTTTTTGAGGTGTGGTCTTCCATTGGGAATGGTCAACTTACCAAGCGCTGCGCTCTTAGCAAAACCTATGTCTTCCTTCCCTAGAAGATAACAATCGCTAATAGCCCCAAAGCTGGAGGGTGAGATTTTGTGCCCAACCCCCATGAAACTCTTATTATTTTATTTTTAATTTGGTTAGAAGGTAGCGGGCTTCTATATGACTTCTTCATAATTTCTTCCTTTTGATTGATCCTTTCTCTTAGCCTCTCATCTGCCTATTCGTCCTTTCTCTGCCCCCAGCCTTCTCTCTGCTTTTATATTGCCTTTATTTAATTTAATTTAATTTCTTTCTTTCTTTCTTTTTTTTTTTTTTTAAATCTTTTATTTATTTTTTATTAATTACACTTTATTCATTTTGTATCCCCCCATAAGCCCCTCCCTCCTCCCCTGCCAATCCCACCCTCCCTCCCCTTTCTGCATGCATGCCACTCCCCAAGTCCACTGATAGGGGAGGTCCTCCTCTCCTTCTTTCTGATCTTAGTCTATCAGTTCTCATCAAAAGTGGCTGCATTGTCCTCTAGTGTGGCCTGGTAAGGCTGCTCCCCCCCCAGGGGGAAGTGATCAAAGAGCAGGCCAATCAGATTATGTCAGAGGCAGTCCCTCTTCCCATTACTATGTAACCCACTTGGACATTGAACTGCCATGGGCTACACCTGTGCAGGGGTTCCAGGTCATCTCCACAAATAGTCCTTGGTTGGAGTAGGAGTCTTTGGGAAGTTCCCTGTGTTCAAATTATCTTGTTCTGTTGCTCTGCTTGTGGAGTTCCCGTTCCCTCTAGCTCTTACTATTTCCCACTTCTTACATAAAATTCCATTCACTCTGCCCATCAGTTGGCCATCAGGCTCAGCATCTGCTTTGACAGTCTATACTGCAGAAGCTTTCAGAGGCCCTCTGTGGCAGGTTTCAAGGTTGTTTCCTGTTTTCTTCTGGCTTTCAGAGGCCCTCTGTAGCGGGTTCCGAGGTTGTTTCCTATTTTCGTTTTCTTCTGATGTACATCCTCTTTGCCTTTCAGGATGGGGATTGAACATTTTAGTTAGGGTCCTCTCTTTTGCTTAGTTTGTTTAGATGTACAACTTTTTTTTTTTAAAGCATCCTTCCTCCCTTAAGGCCTCTTTTCACCAGAATGAGCCACAACATACATTCATTTATTTATATATTTATTTACCTTTGTTTTTCAGAAAGGGTCTCATGCAACCAAGGATGGTCTCAAGCTTACTTTGTACCTGAGAAAGATCTTGAACTCACGATTCCCCTGTGCGGGGGATTATAGCCCTGTGCTATCACACCAGTCTAATGCCCTTTTAAGTAAAGAGGATGTGCCTTACATTTCCTTTCAGAAAATCTTTGTAATAATTGAGACTGGGCCCCACATTGCCAGGATAGGCACTATTGATTCTTGCACACGTGGACCGACACCTACACGCCGTTCCTCAGGCCCTAACTCTGTCCAGCAGTAGAAACTGTAATTAGCATGTTTCTAGAGGAGCCAGATGAATGCATTAAGAATATGCCTTCTGACCTCTGTGATTGCTTTTGTTATGCAGGATTATCAAGAGGAAATTGCTGTTGCCCAAGAGAACAAAATTCAGCTCCAGCAAATGGGAGAACGGCTTGCTAAAGCCAGCCACGAAAGCAAAGCCTCTGAAATTCAGTACAAGCTGGGGAAAGTGAACGAGAGGTGGCGCCATCTCCTGGACCTCATTGCAGCCAGGTAAAGGCACCAGGGGCAATAGGAGGCCCGGGGGGGGGGGGCAGGGGGGGTCAGGGGATGTTGAAGCCTGTTAGTCCGTATTAATTTCAGCTGAAGCAGTGGTTCTTGACCTTCCTAATGCTCTGACTCTTTAACACAGTTCTTCGTGTTGTGGCGACCCCCAACCATGAAATTATTTTTGTTTCTACTGCATAACTTTAATTTTATTACTGTTTTGAATCGTAATGTAAATATTTTTTTGGACAGAGGTTTTCCAAAGGGGTCATGACCCATAGGTTGAGAACTGAGCTAAAGGGACTGCACTACCCAGCTCCCTCATCCTGAGGTTCTATACCGCCGGGGGTAAGAGCACCATGTTCCTGCTGTTTCCATGAATGGCACTTTCATTGGCTTCAAATGGATTTAGGGAAAGAGAAGGGAGTGGAATCCAAACCAGAGAAGGTTCTTCATTTGGGAGCTTCATGGGTATGCCAACACCTATGGAGAAGAAAGAAGATCTATTCCATTGATATTTGTAGAGGGTGTTCTTCTTTGTTGTAGAAAAAAAAAAAAAGAGCTACCACATTCTTATTATATGTTTAGTTAGTTGGGTACGAGAATGAGGCTGACTGTTGTCCTCTGCTTATTCACAAAAATAAACTACTTCATTATTGGAACTTTCTGCTCAGCCATAATGGTGACTATAATTACGTGCCTCATGTTGGAGAGGCAGATTATATTCCATTTATTTTGTAGACAGGCAGTGCGAAGAAAAGGGATGGCAGACATAAAGGGGGAACCTATGAGGGCCTTTGCCATCAGTTCAAATACTGGTATGACTTAAAGGTGCATGAGGTTATGTTATATTAAAAGGGGACCTGACTATGGAGCAGGTACACCTTCCTTTACTTTGGGATGTAGATGCTAAAAGGCAATGTTGTCCGATTATTCACTGCATATCAGAAGCCCAAGAATAGTTGCTGGGGCCAGGGTGTGTGGCTCGGAGGCAGACAGATTGGGTAGCCTGTGCAAAGCCCTTTGTAAAGTAGCTAAAATGTCACAAAGACTGGTAGGCTGAGAAAATGAATGTCATCAGGGAAGGACTCCGCCCTAGAATATATGGTGCCAGTGCTTACATGGAAAGAAACTAAGCAAAAAACAGTGAGCTCCCTGCCCTGGGACATACAGGTAAGGAAATATATTTCTCCATTGAAGTTGTCCTACAGCTGAAATGCATAGTGCTTCAGAATCCCAATGTGATTCTCTCATCTCATCCTCACCAAGATCCTAATAAAATCTTATTTCAGAAGCAGAAATTGAAACCTCATGTGCTATAAATGTCCTTCTTAGACCGCCCGCCGGGTCTACATCCTGGGGATTTCTCTCTCTCTCTCTCTCTCTCTCTCTGTGTGTGTGTGTGTGTGTGTGTGTGTGTGTGTGTGTGTCAGCTTCTAGCACATGAACTGATGTGCATGTCCATAGAGTTCCATTAAACTGGCTGAAGTATTTGCATGAATCTCAGTGTCTCAGTTGTATGGAGAGGGAAGATGCACCATGCCAAAAATATTCCAAACAGGCTTTAATATAGTGCAGTTGCAGGCAACTGGCGTAGTTTCTGCTCAGCTGTCAGCTGGCATTACATGGAGGGTGATGCTTTCCCCTCAAAGTTGTGTCCATATATGATGCATTTGTATGAATATTTTTCAGATGAGAATTTTTTTTTAGATATTGTCTTTTTTTTTTTTACTACCCCAAAAGACATAGAAACAAACGAGTTAGCTAGCTGTATGTTAGTAAGACACAGGTGCTTTGCACTGTGGTCTCTGAAATGTTCCTCTGTGTCCACTGGTTAGGATCTCATCATGAAGATGCATCCCCGAGGGAAACTCTCATATAGACATATTGTCTTTAAAATTAGAGCAGACCGTAGCTGCTTGTCAATTTGCTCTGGAGTGGAAGGCCGTCCTGGGCTTGGTCTCCCTTTCAGCCTCTCCCAGAAGCCACTTGGCTATCACGTTTGCTCTCTGTTTCCTTGTTTCCTGGGCTCAGGCTGGATGGACTTCCTCCACACCTGTCTTCAGCTGGGAACTGCCAGGCGCATATTCAGTGCTGTCATCCAGTCCCATTCACGACTGCCCCCCTTTCCTGCAAAAACTTTGATTCACCAAACAGAACAGAACCTGGTATATACTTTCGGAGTTTCATTTTAGTTAATCATACTTTTACTTATATATTCTGTGCAGAGTGGGGACAGGGGTACGCCACCTTGTACATGTGGGATTCAGAGGACTGCTTGCAAGAACGGGATGGAACTCGGGTCCTCCGAGGCATGGTAGCTGTGTTTACTGCTAAGCCACCTCACTGGCCCATACCTTTTTACTTTTTCCCTGAGACAGGGACTCTTTTAGCCCAGGCTAGCCTTGAACTCCATCGGTAGTCAAGAATGACCTTGAACTTCTGATCTTCCTGCCTTCACCTTCCTCAGTGCTGAGATTACCACCATGTCCTATTCATGCACTTCGGAGGACCTAACTCAAGGTTTCACACATGCTAGGAAGGCACTTTTTCAACTGCACTTCCCACCCATACTTTGAATACTTTCTATATTTGTTACAAGTTTGTGCAAACATTTTTAAAATTCCCCAGATTCACAAAATAAACTTTCCTGAGATCCTATCAAATAAAAGAACATTTTTAAAAACTAACTCAAAATAATGTTATTTTTTTACCACCTTTCATCATTATTTTTAAATAGACAAAGGACAGAGGTCTATTAAGTGGAGGCAAATATCTTCTCATTATTTTCCACGCTCAAACAGTCTATTAGGAAATGGATGTCAAATGATTTCCCACACAGTATTCTGACCCCCTCCCCCAGCAACCCTTTAAATGTCTACTCCTACCGCTGAGCTGGCAGACAGGCCCGAAGAGGAACCTACTTCTGTTTGCTGCTACCATCTGCAGCGTCTGTGAAGCTTTTGCTGGTAGTTTTGTGCGTGGCTAGTTTGTGTCTTCCAGGTCACATTCTCATTCTCGGCACAGCCAGCAGCACACGGGAAAAGCCGACCATCCTAATAGACCAGGAGAGTGCCAGCAGACATCTCTGCTTCTGCGACCCTTTCCTTAGGCCAGCAACCTGCTCCTCCCGGCAGATTACACGCAGGCTTTTCCCTTCTTACCCTCGTGGCCTACATTCCAGGAGATCAAGCCTGGCACATGCTCATGAATGTGGGCTTTTTTTAGAAGCATGACCACTTGTGACTGCCCAGTGTCATGTTAACAGACAACCAGCACCATTTGTCCAACAAGAGCATTTTAATACTTGTAGCCTAGACAAGGAGAGAAAGTCTCTCCTCACCTAGGAAGGACTGAGCCTCTTGCTCAGGCTCTTGCAGAGCCTGACTTTTGCAGGCAGAAGCTTCATGGTGGTGGCAGAGGACTCGTGTGCCCCGAGGATGGCGGCGGATGGCGGCTCGGAAGCAGATCTCCCAGAGTGTGACTGCGATGTCTCCAGGCAGGCATCTTCTTGAGTGTCTTCTATTGGGCATAGCTTTAGAGTTACGTAGGGCTCACGAGATAGACAGTGTGCTCTTTAATCTGGAATGTTTCACGCTGATGTTAAGTAGACATGAGTAGCACCAGGAGAATGCAGGGCCATGGACTCCAGAGAGTTCTTTGTTGGTTTGTTTTCTTGTTTCTCTGCTGGGCCTTGCACGTTGGTCGACCCAGTATTTCAGCTGTATCTGTACCAAGTGCATCACGCAAGGAGCATGGCTCCAGTCGAGAGGCCGAGACTGGGATGAGCCTGAGAGAAAGACTCAGCAAGGCCACCATCTGCTTGCTAAAGGGCGGCTTGTGACCAAACCGAAGTCAGCTGGAGCCAGTTTACAGCTGCATCCAATGCTTTCTCTAGAGTAAATAAAAGCAAGTTTGGAGGGTGTGGACGAGGATTTTTCTGAGAGAAAAATCACTTCTGTTCGTGTTGGTCAGTCATTTTGGGCCATCCAGGCGTTCATGTCTTATAAAATATGCGGATACTATAATTTAGGTCTAAAATAGTAATTAATGTTTAATGTGAATATTGTTTGTGATTTATTTCATTTAGAATAACTAAAACCCTTGGTGGTGTAGTGTTTAGGATTCAGAGATCTTCCCACATGGCAGGGATTTTTATGTAAGTTTTTAAAATGGTTCTCTTCTGTTGTCCCCCTTGGATGAATTCGTGTGGGAGGGGGTGGGGTTACGAACAGCGTTTTGGTTCTATCACATTCAGAGCCTGGGTTATGTTTTGTTTTGGGCTGTGGATATTCTGTTTGCTGGGCAGTGTTTGTATTGTGTTAGATATGTAAGTCTGTGTTTGTAATACACACATGCACAGGTTCATGCGTGTCGTTGTGGTGGGCAATTGGATTGGGTAGTGCAGTCCTCCCTCAGAGGGTTAGGAACAACAGGGCACACATGAGCAGGGAGGACTTGTTACAGTCAGTCAAGCCTGCTAAACCCTGCATTCATACCGTGGGTGGGCATCTATGTTAAGTTAAAGTCCTGGATGCTACACAAAGGAACGTTGCCCAAACTTTTTAGATTCTATAAATATATAAATATAAATATAAATATAAATATAAATATAAATATAAATATATATAAACATATAAATATTCTGATACTTCAAAGATTTTGTTCAAAGAAATACCGAAAGAATGAGGTATTTCCTCTGTGCAAGGACGGCCCCTGGAAATATCAGATTTAATAAGCTATCACCAATAAATGAGGCTTGACAGGCCACTTCCTCCATGCTTACACCCAACATACATATAAAGTATTATTCAATTTGTAAGAAAAATTTTTTTGAAAATTATAAAGGACAGCCACTTAAGCATCCACCTATTGACTTTACTAAATTTATATTAGTTTGAAAGAGGAAGTTGTCCCTAATGGACTATATGAACAAGCATTTCCGTGTCACGATGCCCTTGACACATTGCATGCTAACCGCACTGCCTTGGACCTCATTCAATGGCTCGCAGGATCTGAGTCCTGTCACTAAGTGTTACTGGCCTGGTAGGATATGATTTACTCACGGCCTTTTGTGCTCTGAATCATTTGATCAAATTTGTGATCTTTGAGTAAAAAGAATCAGCTCTTTGATTCTAATGACCTAGAGGGAAAATGTAAACATTTATTGTCAAATGGGTTTTAATGGTGAGGAAATTAATTGAAAGTATTTGACCTAGAATACTAGTTGTTAACATCAGTAGTCATTTTTAAATAATGTCCACTTGTGTACAAAACTGAGCTAAGTGTGGGGGTGGGAGGATCCACACCGAGATATTCATAGTTCTAGCTCTCCGAAGACCTGCTGTGGAGAAGTCCAGCTTGGACACAGGTGGTGCCGGGTGGCACAGTAAGGGTACGGAGGAAGCAGACACTGCAGCCTCCAATGAACCCTAATGGCATTGGAAGCTGGTGATAAAATTCCAAACATAGTTAGCTTCCAGACCCCGCCAAACCCCAACTCAGAAATCTAGTCACATGAGAGGGGAGGGAGGACATGCCTCCCGCGGTACTTTCAGGATAGATTCTGTGTCATGCACCATTCTTCAGACCCGCCCCAGGGGGACCACTACGTCTGTGGCATTATGTTAAATTCTGTGTCCATGCTGCAGTCACTCGCTGCTCTTCCTGAGACCTGCATCAGCAGCCCTTATAAAGCTTCATTCATTAAAGACCCAAGTGAATGCCAGAAACACGAATGGATGGTTTTTCAAAGTTCTTGGAAATATTCAAAGACCACACCATGAAATGCCTGAGGACCAACTTTGACTTCTGCCTATAAAATTAATTGAGGAATTCTTATCTTGAGTAAAATTGAGTTATGATAAGTGAGGCACCACATTTTTACTCTTAGTCAATACAGTGGGTTGGCAATATGAACATAGATTTTTTTTAAGTATACAATTTTTTCCCAAAAAATGTTCTAAGATATCTCATCTGAGAGTGATTTCAAAAGATAAAATGTTATTATATGTAGGCATTATAACCAAGCACAATCAATCACATGCACATAGAAATCTAGCATGTATAACTGACCATCTCTCTTGAAAAATTAACATTTATTTGGTTTTTAAATTTAAATTATAATGTCATCATTTCCCCTCCCTCTCCTCACTCTAGTCCCCTCATATGTATTTCCCTGCCCTCTCTCAATTTCGTGCTTTTTTCTTTAATCATTCTTTCTCTCACACACACACACATCTATCCCTAAACATAAATAAAACCTGCTCAGGCCATGTACCATTACATGGATGTATATGATTTCAGGGCTAAATACTTAGTATTGAATAACCAGTTGGGGCGTGGGGCTCCCTAAACAAAACCAGAACAAGGATGAGACCAGTAGACATGCTAGCCCGGAAGAGGAAAGTGTCAGGGATCCACAGCCCTGGGCAAAGAACTACAGGCCATCAATGGATGTCAGAGCACAGTGGGGTGGAGCGGAAATCCTTTAAAGAACACTTGTGCGATAGCCCTAGGGACAGTCCCAAGGGGACAGGGTGACTACCACCTGGATTCCTTCCGGTTGAGACAGGTACAGATTTGTTGAAATGATGGCTTTCGTCAAATTTAAGGAACTAAAAATACATCAATATTCTAAAAATACCTTGTTGCCAACATGTTTCTTCAGAGTAGTGACTTTTGGCCTGAGAAGCATGGAAACTCATCTGAGGTGGGCGTGGAAGCAGCTGAGAGCTGCAGCTTGTAGGCTGGGAGGGCCTGGGGGTGATTCCACATCAGATGGGGCGTCCACGTGTCCTTGTGAATCACAGAGAACATTCTGTTGAGGAGTGCATTGAAATATTCAGCATCCTGTAGTCTTAGACATCATGTGGCTCTTGACATTTTTTTTTCAAGAAGATACGTTTTCAGTGAGGCCACTTTGACACTGAAACATTTTCTTTATCTGGCTATCTGATTACTTATACGAAGAGCAGTTCCTGTAAAGTCCTCTGCTTCCTGATCCGGAAGGAGGTGGTCTACACAGAGAACTGCGCTGCAAAGAAGAGCTGTGACAAGATTCCCTGGTTGTGTCCTCATTAGGACCACCAGCCTGCTCTGTTGAATAGTCTGTCTACGGTCATCCTGGCCAGACCCTAAACAGGGACTCCTAATCACCACTTGTTATGTCATACATAGGAAGTTGAGACACATTCTCTTCCCATCCCAACCACTTGCTTATACTCTGCCCACCTGGAGGAATTAATTCAGGGCTATTTCAGCTGTCTCCATCGAAGCCCTTGACCATCTCATCTTCATCCTTGCTTTGTTATTTACATTTTCTCCTCCTTTTCCTCAGTGTTTGCTTCTTCTTCTATGTTTAAGTACATCATAAGGTTATTTCCCGTGATGAACTATGTTCATTTGCATCGTGTTTAAAAAATAGGTCCTCTAGAGGTTCCATGACTAACATCCTCACTTTGTTGCCTACTTTTGTCAAGTAATTAGTTATAGGACTAAAAAAAGATGGTTCCAGGGTCTGTGAAATGTATCATGATTATCTGTTACTTTGCAGCTAATATCCACTTACAAGTGAGTACATACCATGTTTGTCTTTCTGGGTCCGGGTTACCTTACCCAGGATGTTTTTTCTAGTTCCACCCATTTGCTAGTAGATTTCATGATGACTTTTATTTTAAACAGCTGAGTAGTATTCCATTGTGCAACTGTAATACATTTTCTTTATTCGCTCTTCAGTGGAGAGACTTCCAGGCTGTTTTCAGTTTTTGGCTATTATATTCTCATAATAAAATAATATGAGCGTAGTTGAGCTGTGCTTGTGGTCTTCATGGACCGTGTATGGGTCTGAGCTAGGTCCCCTGCACGTACATTATGGTTGGGTAACAGTGGGAGTGGAGGCTGCCTCTGACTCTTTGCCTTCTCTTGGGATCCTTTCCCTCCTCCTGGGTTGCCTCGTCGAGCTTGATATGAGAGTTTGTGCCTAGTCTTACTGTAAATTGCTGTACTGTGTTCAGCTGACATCCCTGGGATCTTTCTGAAGGGAGATGAAGGCAGAATGGATCTGAGGAGAGGGGAGTTGTTGGGGTGGTAGGAGGGGTGGAGGGAAGGGGACTGCAGGTGCGATGTAGTGTATGAGAAAGAACAAATTAATGGGGAGGGGTCCCTCAGCTGTTAAGAGCACCTTCTGCTCTTCCAGAGGACCGGGCTTTGATTCTCAGCACCCCGTGGGGAAGCTCACACCACCCGAACTCCAGCACCAGGGAGTGCAAAGTCTTCTGGCCTCTTTAGGCACTTTCATGCATGTGGTGAACATGAACTCACACAGGCACAAGCACAATAAAAGAAAACTAACAGCCCTTCTTTAACACAATCAGTTACACCGCCTTACCATAGCGTCCTAGGCGGCCTAAATGTTCATTTTGAGCATCTGAGCCCTGAACAGAGTATTTCCTCAGCACTTGCAGTCTTTCTGACTGTTAAACATCAGAACCTCTCCTTCGGTCCTTTTCATATTGTTTACAATGCTCTGTAGCTTACAGTGCTCTGAAGCACAGCAGTAGTTCCCAAATGTCAGCATTTGTAAAACCACATTTGTTTAAAGTGCTAATTCTATAGCCTCATCCCTGGAGGTTCAGACACCAGAGGACCACAGTGCAAGAGTCTGAGCTGGTGTAAGCAAACCTGGTACAGGCATCTGTTCAAACTGACTGATTCTGAGCCTCCCCTTTGAGTGTCCTATCTTTGCTCTAAATTATGCCTTCCTGGGCTTCCACCTTCTTTAAAACAAAAGTGTGTGTGTGTATGTGTTTATGTGTGTGTGTCCCAAGACTGAAATCAGATGTCTTCCTCAGTTACCTTCTACCTTTTCAAGACAGTGTCTCTCCCTCCACCCTGGAGCTCTCCTATGTAGCTCAGCTGAGGCAGCGTGCCTCAGGGCTCCTCCTGATGAGGTTCCTGTAACTCCAGGGTTCACAGGCACAGGTTACCTCACTTGGCTTTTTCCGGGGTGCTAAGGATCAGAACTCAGGTGGCTTTACTGACTGAGCCATCCCCCTCGAGCCCTCCTTTGTTTCTGATTATATTCTCTTTGGCCCTCCTTTAAGAAACTGTGAAGTCAGCACCCACTCACAGCCTCTCCTCTATGCATACCAGTTTAACCAATGCTGGAATTTCATTCCTCGCTCCTAGACCTCAGAACTGCATTTCCACACACTTCTGTGAGAGTCCTCAAGTAGTGTGCACGGCTGTTTCTCCCATGCATTCCTCCTCCTGCGAGTATAAATTGTGTTATTTGTGAGAATGACTTCTGTAAAAGCTGTGTGTGGGGTTGCTGTCACACTTACATTATTTTGTACTGCAAACAATAACAATAATGTTACATGTATTTGGTATGATAGTGTGAACAGTTTCTGGATGTCCTCCTTCACCCAGCACTCTACATTATTCCACTTATATGAACTTTATCAATTCCGGTATAGTCTATAAATTCCCATTTTGTGAAATGAAGAAATAAGACGTTCAGCGGAGTCACATTGCCAGCCAGCCAGGAACTGAGCCAGGGTGGACCAACACAGTTTGGCTTTAGGCTCAGTGTTGACTTCTGCAGACGAGGGCAGCATGATTAGGGCCTTTCACCATCTCATTGAGTCTTGATGTTTGCACTTCTCTGTCCACAGGGTGAAGAAGCTAAAGGAGACCCTGGTGGCCGTGCAGCAGCTGGATAAGAATATGGGCAGCCTGAGGGCTTGGCTGGCCCACATTGAGTCAGAGCTGGCCAAGCCCATAGTCTACGATTCCTGTAACTCAGAAGAAATACAGAGGAAACTGAATGAACAGCAGGTGGGATGGAAAGAGAGTGCTGAGCCTTGGAGCCTGTGTCCTCTCAGCCAGGATAACGGGGCGGGTCTGAGATGTTGACCTGGGATGAAAGATATGGAGGCAGTTGGGCTGGATGAGTAATGAAGGGAAGCTTTGTGTAGCAGAGGGGTAGGGACAAATAGGTTCCGTATCACTACAGAATTGACTCTTAGAAGATGCCTGTGCCATGTTAGTGTCATTGGTTCTCTGGAAAGCAATCTAACATGGCAAAGGGGTGGCCAAACCATCAGCCAATTGTGTCCTCTGTGAGCCCAGCACTGTAGACTTGGGAAGAAGCCCTTGACTACTGCAGGGCATTCGGGGAAAGGCAACAAGGCACGGTGAAGCCTTTTTGTACTTGTGAGGAAGAATGGGCAACCTTCAGACCATGCAGTCATGTCGCCTTCACGTACACAGTTAGGGCAATACATCTCACTGACATAGAATGTGTAACCCAGAAAAGCAAAGGAGGATGGCCCTGAGAAGGTGAGTAGAGGGAAGCTTTGTTCCTCTACTCTAGTTTATCCTAAGTGTACCAGGCGCCAGTGGCCGACCATGAAAGTGTTACCCTGTGTGTTTTGGCCTTTGAGAACTCTACCCAATTACATCATGCTAGCCAGAATGTTTTGTTTAGCATGCACACACACACACACACACACACACACACATACACACACACACACACACACTCACACACACACACACACACACTCACACACACACACTTACACACACATATACATACACACACAAACTGTACATTTCAAATCCTATAAGATAACTCACACACTTAATTTTTTTGAAGAAATGAATGAGGGTAAAAGTAGCAATGGCTGATAACCCCTACTGGTTTTTTTTAATAAGCTGGAAACTGCTGTAAGCCTTTTGCATGGTTTTAATATTATTTCTTTTTATTTTTTGAGATTATACATGAATTACATCGTTTCCTTCTCCTCCTTTCTTCCTCCAAACCCTTCCATAGTCCTCCTTGATCTCTTTCAAATTCTGAGCCTCTTTTTCCGTTAGTTGTTGTTATATGCACATATGGCAACATACTCATGTGTATTCTAACTATAAGCTGCTCAGTGTGCGTGCTGTGACTTGTGTGGATCTGCTTTAAGGGCTGGCCGTGGACATTGGTAGCCAATCAGTGAACCCTTCTTTGACAGGACTGCTTCTCCTACCCTCAGCATTTCTTAGTTGCTTGTCCTTCTTAGTGTAGGGTTGAGGCCTCAGGTTCTTTCCCAGTTCATGTGAGCATATTTAATTGTTGTTCTCTGTGTTTGGGTCATGTTCTGTGATCTTGTTGGTGAGAACTTGGTGTTGCTTCTGAGGTTCCTAGGAGACTAAATCTCACAGCAAAGTCCCTGATCCTCTGGCTCTTCCAATCTTTCCACCCCCTCTTTTGAAATGATCCCTGAGTCATAGGTGTGGGAGTTGTTTTGTAGCTGGATGGGTTAGGACCGGGCTCTATAAGTCTGCACTGGATTAACTGACATAAATTGTACCGTTGTATACTAGTCAGAATAGGTGTTTCTGTGCCTCCCTGTGTATCGCATTTATTAGTATTTTGTGGTTCTTTGACAGTTTCATACATGTATGAACTGACTTTTTGGTTTTGGGTTTTATACTAAAATTATTATTTGCTTTAAACCCATTTTGCTGAGACACTATCTGTTTTTATAAGATTAGTGTGTTCTGAGTGTCATGTGTAAGATTTTGATGATTACATTGGGGGGGTCATGGCTGGCCTTCAGCGCTCCCCACTCCCCAATCCAAATTCTCCCGGAGAACATGTTAAGGCGTGTATCAGAAGTGAGGGATACAGGCTAATGAGCAGTGTTGTCGTCCAGTGTGATTCTTTGATAAAGTCAACAAGTCTTTTTCTAATGAGGGAAGAAATTATTAATTAATTAAAATGATAATACAAAAAAATAAATCACAAGTGTAAAGGACACACTTCCAGTTCATAATGACCTGATAAAATACCCAGGAAAATTAGAAATACACAGAATCATCCCAGACTTTTCACATTAGGTATCGTCATAACAAACAGATACACACAGCATGGGTGGGGCTGAGGAGTTAAAATAAAGCATGCCTTCTCCCAGCATGCTCAGGGGCCAGGGAACAACAGCGCAGTGCCGTCGTCTGGAGGCTGATAAACTGTCTATGATGTGCAGATGTAGACCCTCTCACTTGGCATACACAAGCTTACCTCTGAGCCCTCCATTTCCAGAGGGTTAGTGAACGGAAGGCTGACTACAGGAATGAGTAGGGTGATAGGGGAAAAATAGCATTCGGCTTAGGAGGAAAGAATTGCAGTGCTACTGAGCTCCAGTAAAATGAAACCTAGGGCTGGACATGGTAGTGAGTGGTTTTAATGCACAGGAGGCAGAAGCAGGTGGAGCTCTGTGAGTTCAAGGCCAACCAGGTCTACAAAGTGAGTTCTGGTTCAGCCAGGGCTACACAAGTAAGACCATGCCTCAAAATTACATACATGCATGCATACATACATACATACATAAGCAAATGGATAAAATCTCATCATTTTGGGGGAAATGGATGGAACTGGTTAATATCAAGGGAGATAAGCAAAACACAGAAAGACAGATATTACATGCTCTCACACACATGGTGTAAAAATAAAAGTAGTCTGGAATATTAACGAGTGATCCCCAGGGCTTGGGAAGTAGGCTTTGATCGAGGCATACCTGATGAGTATTTAGATAACACCTTAAGCCAAGTAGTGAGAATAAATGATCTACACGTTCATCATAAATGACTTTCAAAGGCAAATCTCAGATGAGGGTAAAGGCTGTCTGGCACGTGAGCAGCCCAGCAGCCCAGCGAGCGCTGCCTGGGATAGACGGAGCTGGCTCTCATAGGCCTCATGGGAGTTTCCAAGCAGGAAGACGGTGGATCTGCATTTCCCAAAAAAACTTAAATTAACTCTTATTACAAAAAACTGACACAAATGTGAGGGCTATAGGAGTGCTAACTCCAGAAAAACCAAAGCTTATGAGTAAAAATGGAAGTTTAACCAAAGCATACTTGTTACTGTGCATCAAGTCTAATCACAAAAGCAATGATTGCTGCTGCTGCGGCTGCTAACTGTGCTGCGAGCCCAGTGACCATGAGGCTCAGTCCTTTCCTACTGCAGAATTTTCCATCTCTAAAGTGTAAAGGAGGAGATGGTGGCAGAACTGTGATGTATTACAGTATCAGTAGAGAGAGCTACATGGGAAGGAGATGGTTTCTTCCAGGAAAGCCTGGGTTTCAAAGAGCCCAGCCTCACTCAGACAAAGTCTTCCAGTAGTTTCTTACTTGGTTGTAATATGTATGTGTGTGTGTGTGTGTTTGATATATATAGATATATACACACACATATATATATATGTATAGTATATGTTATATACTACATATAGTATAGTACATGGATACATATATGTATATATAGTATATGTTAGATAGTATATATAACATATAGTATATATAATATATATTGTATATGTTTAACATATAGTATCTATCATGTACTATATATACGTATATGTATACATATATTAAATTAAATACATGAATACATTTTAAATTACAGCTTTAAGACTGTGTTACAAGGGGCACTGTAATTGGCCATTTTCACTCTCACATTTCATATTTATAGAGTACTGATTACTAAAATTTACACCATAAAGTGTGATTTTTAATGTTAATGAGAAATGCTCTGAGCACAATGCCTAGCCCAAACTGCCTTTTAGTTGTAAAGTGAACAATATTATTGTCGTAAGTGTATCTTGGGGAACGTGTGCGCGTGTGCCATGGTGCGTGTGTGTTGGAAGAGGACTCTGTGGAGTTGGCTGTGCCCTCCTACCTTTGCACACGCTCCCAGGATCAAATTCAGGCAGTCAGGCTTGCTTAGCAGGCCATCTCCCTGGCCCCAGTACCTCTTACTTTCATCGTTTTAGGTTTGTTGTGGTTTCTGATTTGTGGGAAATGTTTGGAAATGATCCTGTAATGATCGGTCTACTTGGAGTTCATGTTTTAAAAGATCCACTAAAAGTCACCTGTCTCTAAAGGAGAAGTTCTGATAGACATTTCATGGGAGAGAGTAAATTGTTAAGAAATGCGGTTTTCTTCTCTCTCCCTGTGTAGAATTTGTCTGGCCAAAGTTTTTAAATTCTTCCAATTTTCATGTGGGAGAACTACAGTTTATATAGATTTGAGGTGACTTTAAGAAACACCTGCCAGATCTCTCTGTTTTCTAGCTGAAGAACTAACTTCAAAGCTGCCATGATGATCCAAGATCCTATCACCACCTGAACCTAAACTACCCCTAATGCCTGTTACATCTTAGGGTACTTACCTATGATATTAAAATAATTCACACCTTATGGCTGTTTTGTTACTTCAAAACTTTTGACTATTTAGAGGAAACTGCATGCAATGTCATGCTTTAAGTGTTTGGATTATGTTTAAGTAGATGAGATTAATTTTAAATATAGAGCCCCCCTTTGAATTTGAGATAGTGATCTCAACCACAGAAATAGCCTTGTAATATTAAGCAAATATTCAGTTAAAAATCTGTCCTACTTCAAATCTTGGGTTAGCATCTTTTAGGTGTATTCTTGAAAGAGGAGACAATAGAGATTTTCAAAGACTATTTACTAAAATAGAGAAGGTTTAATATAAGTTATCTCCCAGTGTCTAGTTTAGAGAAGCTCCAAAAGTTACTAAAAAATACTCAGCTTGACAACAAGACAGTCTTTTCACAGCACTGAAAAGCAGCATCGTGAGGGGAGGAATGGGGTGTGGAGGCAGCTGAGTCAGTTGTAGGATGCTGGGAACAATAGAAAAGCTGGGCAAACTTAAAAGTTATGTTTTTTTTAATAAGGAAAATATATTAAGAGCACTGACAAGCAGGACAAAGGGCAGGGGGAGGAATGAAAGCTATAAAGTCCCCACACACACACACACCCAGAGAAAGTATAAATTTGTGTTTTTGTTTTTTTTTTAAAGTGAGGAAAAAATAACCTGGAGTAGGAAGGGCACCTAGGGATGAATAAGACCTTAATAGTGGAATAATCTGAGCAAGCTGACCTCCCGAAACTTAAAGTTAACCTGTTTTCTATCACTGAAAAATTACCTGAGGTTGCCAACTGGGGGGAGGGAATGCGTTGTTTTGACTGAATGCTTCCAGTCTGGGGTCACATGACTGCTGTTGTGGGCCTGTGGAAGTACTGTGCCCTGGGTCAAGAGTGTGAGTCAAGGAGAACTGTCAAAAGAGAAGTGGGAGGAGCTGGGATCCCAACATCCTTCACAAGGACGTGCCCCCAGTGATGCACCTACTCGCGGTCCTGCTGCCTGCTAGTCCCGCCACAGGCTCGTGAGCAAGCCTTTGACATGTGGGGCTTTGGAGAACATTCCAGAACCAAGTTACAGTAAAGCCCAAGTGGGAAAATAATGGATATTTTTTATTCCATTCTCTGCATTTAACATGAGTCCATATGTTGGAACTGGATAAAGTCCAGTTTCCTGCTTTTTATCAAGAACTTTCTATTTCTGTCCTACATTTAAAACTGTGCTCCAAGGAGAGTAGTGGTGATCTCATTTATGAGCGGGAACCTCAGTTTCTTAGCCATAGTACCTCTTGACATTGTCCTGTGCATTTGCCGATCTGTGCTGCTTAATCTAAGCTGTGAAGTGGGAGCTACAGTACACTGAATTGATTAACTCTGATCAATTGGAATTAATTTGATGTATCAGTAGAGCCCAGGGCAAGATTCATCCTCCCCCCACCGTGTGTGTGTGTGTGTGTGTGTGTGTGTGTGTGTGTGTGTGTGTGTG